AGCGCATTAGAATATTTTAATAATTAATTGCGCTATATAAATTAATAAATTATTATAAATTATTATTAAATTATAAGCACCGTGCATGTTATTAAGATATTTTCACTATATCTTTATTCATACTAAAGATAACTAGAGGTTCCATGGTTAAAAATTGATCTCATAACATTTCAATTTTAACAAAGAAACCATTAAAAATTTATCAAGGTTCCAAGTCAGAAATAAAAGAATACAGAAATTTTTTTTTACCAACATGAAAAAGAAAAGGCTAAATTATGTTGTCAAGGAAGGTTAGTATATATTTTGACATCATTTACACACTCTGGATTTTCCCGTTTTTTTTCTATTAATAATACCAAGTTATTGTCAGCACGTCCCAGACGATTAGTCTTCTCACATGGTACTTCAACCTCATTAAATGCAATGCCATTTTCGATATCACATAAAACAGCGCGCTCCATTGAGCAAAATCGAGAATTCTTATGACCGAGACTACGTATGTTTACGGGGGCCTTTAAGGTGACTCTTCGGACATACCTATTGGAACAATAAAATAATAGAAGGGCGTGGAAATTATTCTAACAAACCAAAACATTCGTTTAATGTTTGTCAAAAGAGGCTCCACTTCAGCCTCAGTTATCAGTTAACTGAAGTGGCTGCAAATAACTTTGGCGGATTTATGGAATGCTTTTGAAAAAAAAATTGATGCAAGGATTCCTTTTTGCCGCCTTTAATTKCTAACTATGCCTTTCGAATATAGAATGAGAAAGACTTTGATTTTCTGTACAGCAGATCACGTGACTCGCCATATTACGTCAGACCTATTGACGGCTTTTTTTTTGTAATAAACATTACATGGTGAGTTATCGTTTGACAGCGCGTTGCCGCCACTAAAAAATTCCACCATAACAAAATCTTCAACATCAGGAAACCCCATTTTTTGTTTGATTTTGTTTTTCCAGAAAGTGAAAATATTTTCTGTAATAAGAAATCAGTTGGTATTTTTGAAGTAAACATCTTGACGTCCAAAAAAATCAAGTTTTGCATAAATATCAAAAACATTCGCCGCAAAATTTATTGATTCTTGATCGTGTAATCCATAAGAGATCATTTTGATGCTTCTCTAGCGAAGTCGTATTGACGTCCAAACAGCATCACTTTATATTAGTGTTAGTCTTTTTCAACAGCCGCGACTTGCGGTCTCGTCAAAATTCCTCCCCGAAAGTAACGGCTGTTTACCCAGGCCCAACATTCCTTTCCGTTTGATTGACCAGTCACGGCTTGGCTCCTGAAAACCAGGAGCCGTTCGCGCCATAATAAAACAAGATAGTTGTTATTGCAGCTGCGAAATTTAAAGTTAGAGAGTTAAACGACCATCAAAAGAATGCTATTCTCAAGTTTATCGTAGATAGAGTCGATGTGTTCGTTATTCAGCCCACTGGGTTTTGAAAATCGCTAATTTTTCAAACATTGGCATGTATTTTCGATCACAAGTTGGGATCGTCGGAAATTATCGTCGCTGTGTGCTTAATCCGTTTTAAAAACTTGTTTGAAACAAAGAAAACACTTACTATTATCTCCAATAAACGTCTTCGGCGAACTCAACATCACTTGTAATTAAAAACAGGGTGCTGGAATGAAGTCGCGGGAAATTTATCAGGTCAGAAGTACATAACCAGAAGTGTCCATCTCTCCAATAATATCGCCACCATCAGATGTCCCGATAATCTATTTTTAGACAACCAATCATAACGCGCGCACATATTACACGGTATCTGATTGGTCCTTGTTGATCTACTTCAAGAGCGGACAAGAAAGGAAAATTATGTAGTCGATGGAGGCGAACGAATTGAAGTTCGCATTTACGAGAATTTTACACCTTTTGCTGAGCAACCATTTTTGAATTCGATAGAAAACATACTTTACTATATGATCAATGTATCGAAGGAAGTTCAAGAGCAAAATGGTCTGCGAAAACAAGGGAAAAGTTCAGACAAGGACGAAGAGAAATGTAAAACAGCGTGCTAAGAAAGTAGTAATCAAATAGAGCTGGACTTAAACAAAGCCAAAGGTAAAGCAATTTTCGACTGTTAACGTGAGATGGAAAAGCTATAAATTTTCAGGTAGGCGGGGTTGTTTTGAAATTCAAGTTAGTTATCGATATTTCTTTGATGACTTTTCTTGTTTGTGGCTTTTCATAACTTATCTTGTTTTTGTTTACTTAAAATTCGACATGATTTCGTTATTACCCTCTGTACCTATTCGCTTGNTTTACTACAATTCTATGAATAGTCTAAGGGCTTTTTAATTCTATTAGAACAGATTTCTTATTAAAACGAGAACAATTCTCGCCACAAAAATCACATTTTTGCAGACATTTCTTCGCACTCCTTTTGTCTGCATCTTTTTCATCTTTGTCTGAGGAGTCTGAGTGAACATTTCCCCTGTTTTCGCAGACCATATTGCTCTTGAACTTCCTTCGATACATTGCTCATATAGTAAAGAGTGTTTTCTATCAAATTCAGAAATGGTTGTTCAGCAAAAACTTCACTTCATTCGCCTCCATCGACTACATTTTTCTTTTTCTTGTCCGCTCTTGAATTGGATCAACAAGGACCAATCAGGTGGCGTGTAATATGTGCGCGCGTTGTTATTGGTTATATAAAAATAGATTATCGGGACATCTGATGGTGTCGATATTATTGGGGAGATGGACACTTCTGGTTATGTACTTCTGATCAGGTTCAATCCAAAATGTTTTGATTGCCTTTAATCCTCTCTCTCTTTCTTTTGATTGGTTGTTGTTAAACAATCGGAAAGGAATGTTGGGCCTGGGTAAACAGCAGTTACTTCTGGGGAGGAAATTTGACGAGACCAGAAGTCGCGGCTGTTGAAAGAGACTATAACGAGACTAATAAATAGAGTAATATAAAGAGATTAATGTCAAAAGCATTCAATGCAAAATTTTGGTTTCCTTTCCCTAATTTATTGAAACCTCTGTTCATGTCATAAATGATCATTTGGTATTTCTATAGTGAACTCTGCTATACGTCCGAATCAAGCAGGGTTTGAATAAATATCCAAACCAAAACATTCTCGTTTGATTTTCAATCTCGAGACCAGAGTCTTCACGGCTTATGTCAGCGGTATCCGCGGAATCGAAAATGTGCGGGCTCTGGGTACGAGATTGCTTGTTTTTCTCAACTCATTGAATTCTGTGCATGACAATACTAGCACTAGCGAGTGAGTCATACCTACACACGCTACTTGCGCTTTATTAAAGTTTGAGAGCTTTATGCATAATATAACGAATATTGTAATTGCAGCAACATCATTTGTGAGTTCTTTACGCCGTCTTGAAACCTGAGTAACCATGTCTCCGCACAAAAGTCAGACAATTGTTAAAGGGCTACTTGGACGAAAATTGCGAAACACTAGAAAAGACTTGAAAATCAAATAGAACTATCCATATCGGTCTAATAATCATGAAGCAACAGATTTTAAGAAGATATTGATACAAATCCTTAATAATTTGGACAAAAAATGTTAGAGTAGATGACGTCATTTACTTCATCCTTTTGTTCTTCCATCTTTTGAATCAAAATGTCTCTGATGTGGAATAATTCCAAAACAAATATTTTCCCGCAATTGTTTTTAATAGATATAAATGAGTCATGTATTTGTATTGCTTGAAGTTTTGAAATAAGGTCATTTCCATGCAGGTACCACTTTAAAGGCGTACAGCAATGCAAAAAGCCTGAGAAAAATATATGCCCTATATATAAAAATTAGCAATCTATCTTGTCTTTCAGGTAAAATTTAAAGATTTCAAGGGTTTACACTGGAAAAAATCGTTCACTTTAAAAGGTTGTAAATTTGATGTAAATATTATGTAAGCGTCCAAAATGATGTAAATTTGATGTAAATTTGATGCTTAAATTTGATGTAAATTTACATCAAATTTACATCATTTTGGACACTTACATAATATTTACATCAAATTTACAACCTTTAAGCGCGCGATTTTTTCCAGTGTCCGTGTTTGGATACCTTTTAAAATGTCGCTATACAGCGAAGGAGACAATTAATATAAAGCAATATGATTCTAGTCTTGATTGATTGACATCATGCAGGCAAACCTCCACAGTCTGACAAACGTGAGCGCTGTTCATATCATAACAATGATATAATTACATCGCTCCTTTTCCGAGTTCACATGATGCCTTTCAAAAAAAATATCCAAAAAGTAAACACTTTATTATTACCATGGTGATCTAGTGATCGTTGTGATCCTTCGTCTTAATAAGTGTTATAAAACTCATTAATATTCATAAGGCAAAACACAATAGAAATCATAGCCCATGAAGAGAGTTGTATATTACATACAGATCGCCCGCTCATATTGTATATATTACATACAGTCAGATATATTTCGCTTAGCTCGAGCCTTTTCAGTGCATGGCAGTACTTGAATAAGAAAAGAGAAGCTAAGCATAGTAAACACTTTAAGAAAGAAAAGAAATAGATTTTCAGTTAGCATCAACTAAAACTTCTTGAATTCGGCTTCTTCATTGTCAGCGTTATTAAACTTGTTTTGTTGAAGTGTTCAAAATCATAAGCCATAGTAATAATTGGGAAATGAAAATCTCCAATAGGAACAWTGTCCTCTTTCGTGTATATGCATATCAAAACATTCTAGCTTTTGCTGACGTCACTAAATTTGCATTCTCAATTTTCAGTGCTTCAGGTATATTGTCTTTTAAGAAATGCTGCACTATGAATAAGGAAGTTCTGTAGATATAGTTGTCCATAATAATAATAAACAATCCCCAGTACTGYTTTGATTATAATGGTTTTTCATGGACTGTGAAACATGTACAKTTAATGTGTGATTAAAAGTCACATCTATTCTTTATATAAAGGCTTATTTAATAGTGTCTGCTAGTACCTATTAGCTTTGTAAACATTTCACAGTCCAGAGAAAAATACTCTATACGTACCTGGTATTTGTTTCTTTTTAGTTGATCGCCGCTGAAATGGTGAACCGCGTTTTTTAAAGTCCTCAAGCACAAGCTCTTCATTCAAGGGTTGAGGAACACTTACAACATCTGTGCTGTGACGTCTCCTCAAATCCAAGTCTGGAGAAAGCGTTGCACCCTCGAAAAAGCATACATTATCCGTATTTCGCCTTGCATGAYGACTACTTGTCTGCCCATCTGTTTCGTCTTTCTTTTGAGGAGAGTTCGGTTGTGATCCGGTAACAATCGTAGGCACTTCGGGAGTTGCCCGAGTGCTCTCTTTTTTCTCCGAAATCTCATTTGTCTGTTCATCTATAGTTCTTTGACTATTCTGATCTTTATCTGGAATCTCTGTTACGCCGTTTGCCTCATTTGAATTTATCCCTGATTGATAGGAATTTGTCGTTGYCTCGTCGGATTTYTTCGGTGASCTGTCGAAAGTGCCATAGTTTGCTTCGGGAGGTTTCGTATCCTCGATCTTATCAGGCATGAATTTAAAACGACTTGTRAAATTATTAAACGATTTAAAAATGCCCATGTCCTTTTCYTCCTGGTCGTCTCCGTTTGTTTGTGAATAAGCCATGTTCACTATACCCTTGTGTTCTTCAGGTTTYGGGTTTAGCCTCGATTCTTCAGTTTTTTGGTCTCGATTCTCTGGTTGTCTGGCCTCCGACTCTTGCGACTGTACGTCAGCCTCGATATCACTCGGTTTGTCTTTAAAACGAGACAAGGATCTGTAAATGAAATTTAATAGTTTACAAAGTGCAACATTCAACTATTCTTACAATTTCAGTACATGTAGTGATGTAGGATTAGCCTCGAATCCATGTGTAAACTGGTTGTTTATTCTATTTTTTCTATCCTACGAACGAGGCTATTCCCGCCTTTAGTTGAATTCTAAGAATAGTCAATATGATGTAATGTATTATAAAGAATAATCCCAAATAGTGGATGACATAGAAAACGGTCTGAACCTAATAATATCATTGTGAAATGATCTGATACAAGTAATCATAAATCGGAGATTTAAGAAAAATCATGGGAAATCATGTTTTACCTCAATTTTCAAACCTAAAACGGAGATTAGAAAAAATTAATAACACTTCCCGGTGTGAGAAAGATTGTTTTCGATAATCATGAAGTGAAATCCTGGTTTCCACATAAAAACTGAAATAAATGGTCTTTCAAATAGCAGTGAGCAAAATAGTTTGAGAAGCAATATTACGTTTTTTTTTAACGTATTTTTTTTTAATTTATTTGAGATGTTTCGGCGTACTTCACTTCTGGTGATGGCGTAAGTACGCCGAAACATGTCGAATAAACAATTTAAAATCGTATAACAGTAGTGCTTCTCAAACTAAAAAACTGAATTACATTAAATTTGACATCTGTGCAATTTCCAAGATTCCTACTGCGCATTTTGAAATTTAAATGAGGTGTGGAATGTCGTTCTCTACTGAATAGCATGAAAGTTGCATCCGTTACATAGAATTAGAAAGAGTAAATTATTTATTAAAACTGACGCTGTGAGGAAATTTTTGAAATCGTACAACGCATGGGATATAGGGCATATAGAGGATATTGCATGGGCTCGCAGACGCGGAAATACGGATTTTATCTTCGAGTTCGAAAAAATCTCTCACGAGTGAGCGTAGCGAAGATTTTCAACACGACAAGATAAAATTCGTATCTCCAATCGAACATGTAATAATCTATTTATCATATAATTTTAATATGAAAGCAGATTATGTCATAGAATAGCTTTTTTTCTTGCTTCCACTATATAGAGAAACCTCGAATGTGTTATTTTCACTAGTGAAGATATCAAGTTTACGAAATTGAGAAATATAGGTATTTCATACTAGATAATTATATGACAAATTTATTTAGATGAAAATGTCCACCAGTTTCAACATACCCGCTGCGGCAGCGATCATTTTTTTCCAGTTTGGTTGGATCAGGGTCTAAATGGGGTTGAACCGACTAGCGACAAATGGACAACATAACAACTGACTAGCGACAACATATCTACAGACTGGGGACATTTTCCCAAACATGAATATTTTTAGGCAAAATCCAAAGACATTAACTTCTTGAATATTAGTTTTTTGTATTTTTTTTAAGCAACTACATTCGAAGTTTTCCACGAAAAAAAATAAATTTTTGCTTCGGATCAGTGGCTCCTTGAAATTTTGCTTGATTGGCCTGTTGGATTCTTGATTATATGATTGTAATTTAAAGTTGGAACAGCATGTAGATATTTTGTTGTTATCTCTCTGTTTATTTTAATGTTTTTGATATCTTATGAGCAAATAATCATAGAAATTAACGGACAAGCCCTCGATGATACGAAGAGTTTGAATGAGCAGCGACGCCATGCAATTTACAAAAAAAAGCTTTTTAAAGCCCTTAAAATATCTACCTAAAAGCCGTTGCTATATTTTCTTGGTATTAAACGGCACAGCTATATAATTTCTATGTTTTAAAAGACAAAGCAAAAACGACTTAGGAGAACTGTTTTCGAGCGGACATAAAAAAGTGCTACAACTCTTGGTTTTGTTGATAGCGTAAAATGACTGGTTTATTGAAATATTAATCAGAAAAAAATTATTAAAAGTACTTATTTCAATTAAGAAGACCGTCCTCGCTTTCGAGATATTTCACGCTCAAATCTGAAAATTAAGTCCGCCATTTTGAATTCCGAGAGGAGACTGGGCATGAACGAAACATTTACTTTGATATAAATTGCTTGTTGATGTTGTGTATGGTTACCGTTTTTCCTTAGAGGCATAATGATGATTTTAAGCCGCCATCTTACTAAATATAGCATTGTTCCAGAACTCTCTCTCTGATGAAATCAACTGTTATTGAGAGCACTCGCACGTTTGTAGTCATAATAGACTTCTGATCCTTTTACGTCACTACTTGATTTGCAATTCATCGTGGGATCAGTTTCTAGAGAAAACAAAAGAAATCCGCCATGTTTTGTCCCAAACATATCCTACAATGCATTGCGTATACATGATGTAAAAGCTTCAGAGGTCTATTCTCACAAAGTTATGCCGTACGTTTGTTTGAGCTTTGACTGATCGATTATATACATTAAGATCAAAATAACCAGTTAATAGATTAACATTAAAATAACCAGTATTTTCTATTGAATCTCTATAATTCTTCGTGATTACGACATCCGGTAACTAAGTTTTCTCTCCATTTCTATATATATTTAAATATATTATGTATTCAAAGCATATTCGAATAGCATCTGTTGTGCCACATTGAAGAGTAAAAAATGCAGAAATTCAATGCTGCATTCAAATGAAGTATTTTATTGCTGTGTATTTTTTTGTCACTCGTTCAATTCTTAAAATTGTAATGTATAGATATTTATCATTTTCAATAGATAAAAATTGTGCAATAGATATTGATCATATTTTACTCTAAGATGGTAGATTTTTACATACTTCAGAAAACCAGATGTGTATATTATAGAAATAAAAAAATAACGTCTGCATGCTGATAAAATCCAGCCACTAGTGTATATTCAGTACATAACACTAATTCTTTTAATTTAAAGGAAAGAGTTACATTTTAAAATAGTCAAATTAACAATATACCGCCATTACGTACTTTCAATTTACGTTTGACAGAAATTTGAATAACTGAAAATTCGCACTGTTTCGGTAATCTATTAATCTTTGGTAGAAAACACACGATATATAGTCATAAAATATTTCTAAGTACTTAAAGGATGGTTTAAAAGCCTCATACCTGTGTAAAAACGATGGCTGTTCCAAGTAGAAGCGATCGCTGAGCGACCTTATTAACTACCACTCCTTATTATAATTCTAGATTTATTTACTCTGACCATCTGATGTGTCATTCAATAATGGTCAATGTGGTCTATGACAGGTTTTTTAGACCAGTCTATATATTGAAAAGCCACCCTCGTTTAATTAAGCAAACTGTACATAGGTCTTCCGCTGTTGACTTGGTTCAGTAGAGTTTCTCATTGAAAACAACGTTCATTCGATAAAGCATTTGACACGTGGTTGAAAAGATTTCATTTTGTATCTAAAAGAGGTCAGTCAGTAATTGGCATACTTGCTACAAAACTCTTAAAAGGGCGGAAAGCGCGCAATGAGTAATATAACGAGATGGTTCACCGATAGACGTACTCATTGATAGAACTATTGTAATGTTAATATGTCAAATCATAGGTTTTCACAAGAAGCTTTTTTCCAACAGTGAATTGTCTCGGGTTTGCATTTTACATACATGTAAAGACCGAGATATTTTGGATCCAGAAATTAAAAAAAAACTCTTCGCGAAAAAGGTTCAGTTTTAGCTTCAATGTGTTTTAGCTTCAATATCTTTTGCTCATGTTTCCTTCATCATGGCCAACTTTTTTTGTCGCGACAAGGTTTGAGAGCTTTTGTCAAGATGTAAATCGAGAAACAGGACTCCAGACTTGAACAGAAAAAAATTCCAATTAGAACAATTTTAGCATTTCTTTCTTTTCTCTTTTTTTTCTCTCTCTTATTTCTCGGCTTGGAATTAAATGGACATGGTCCACTAGCATGCAATGCGGTCACGTTTTAGATTTTTTATATATGGAAAATGAGGTGACTTCGAATATCCATTTGCAATTCTTTTCCATCCATCGGTTTAACGGTCGACATCTCCATTCATATAGGATAAAGGAATAATAAAGAGTAAGTTTTTGCTTATATTACGATGTATTTCTATTTTCAAACATAAACAAAAGCTCGAAAGGGATTCTGGTGGACCATGTCCCTTTAAAAAAATTATTCAGTATGGCTATAGTCAGGCAGCACGTGGAGAGGAACCAATCTAACGAACATATCATCAAAGATGAATAAAATTGACCTAACTGTGATGACTAACGATATAGACATGATTGTCAAAAATTATCCAACAGCATCCCTTTATATGGTCATTTACCTAATGAGTCTGTTGATAAATACCACAGGGACTCCAATTGCGATTGAAGCTCATAGAATAGGATAATAGCACGAAAATGAAAGTACGTTTCTAACCAATCACAAAAGAAAGCAAGAAAATTAAAATGTTAACTTTCCCCGAGTTTAGACTAACCTGTATTTAAACCATAGGTCAAAGGGAAATACAGGGTTTTAGAACAATTCACACTTTCCCAAGATTAAAATGCATTCCCAGGAGACTTAAACCCTAGGTCTAAAAGGAATACAGGGTTTTAGTCTCAACTCTGGGGAATATGCAAATTTCAAAGGCTATTGTAATAACGATATTTTCTCGTGCTCTCTTTTGTGTTGGTAAGGTCTTTGCGTAAGAGAATCTGTTGCCACATGAAGCGGCGGTTTTGGGCTTTGAATTCGAAAATGGAGTATTGTGAACACAGATATATGGCGAATGATTTTGAACAATTGATTAAGCTCTTTTCAACAAATTATTAGGTTCGCCCGAAAACCTCTAACTGAAATCTTTGTACAAAATCATTTGTATATAGCTGTAATAGCAGAGGAGGGAGTGGGTATGGGAATCCGCAAAATCCAACGTTAAGTATCATCCAAAATCCGCAGTAATATCGCCTATTCATCAGCTCATCCGCAGATCCTCAACTTATAGATATCAAAACATTCACAATGAAGAAACTAGCAAACCATTTGGTTCTGAGAACGTAACAAATCCAGCAAACTGCTTGATTGATTCTCGGAGAAATAAAGGTCAATCT